CCCAGCATATGAGACCAGCCGTCCCCATGTTTTGAAGCCTTCAATCTTCCACAGCAAGTGAGTTTGGGGCATTCGGGACATCGAGCCTGAACTTCAGAGAACTTCTTGCCCAGGTTTCGTTTGCAGTCCTTCGAGAGCGACTTCTGGGTTTAGGAGTACAACAAGTTCAACTTACACCAGGCCTTAGCGGCCTCATCGGCGAGCCGGCCATAACTCCAGGTCCCCCACGCGATGGCCACGCAAGCCGTGCAAAGGCAAGGCAGAAGAGACTGGCTCGACGTGCACTCGCAGCTACGATGGCAGCGTTGTTCTCCAGAGGGGATCACTATCTGGGAGCTCGGCTTAAGGATATGGCTCGCAAAGAGAGTCCCGGCTACAGCACTGCTGACGACGCCCAGCATGCCAGCAAACATGATCTACTCCTTCACGGCTGAATCTTGAACATATAGTGGAGCGGCCTATTTGTCACATACACCTGCCCAGCAGATCACATTCGCAGCCTCCCCCCCCCCCCCCCCCCCCCCCCCCCCTCGCCCCGCCGTTGGATTCTTGGAGGGCTAAAAATCATTCGGACCGTGTGGCTCCAGATGTGGGTCACCCCCCAGAGCTTCCGCTCGCACTTCCGCGACTTCCGCGCTCGAGGTAAAAACCATGCCTTCTGAAACCCAGCCTGCGTGTACTGGAGCCACAAGAGAAAAGGGGTTAGAACAACCCCCATGTATGTATGCATGTATGTATGTATGTAGGTATGTAGGTATGTAGGTATGTATGTATGTATGTATGTATATACACATGCATACACTCATACACTTACACTTTAAACACTATTTAACTAGACAAATACTAACAGCTCTCGAGATTCTCAGGGGCCAGGTCCAGCGCGTCCACACCCGGCCGGCCGACGAGGCGAAGTGCAGGAAGCCTTCCCAAGTTTCGGCTCCTCGGGAGTTTAGGGTTTAGGGTTTAGGGTTTAGGGTTTAGGGTTTAGGGTTTAGGGTCAGGGAGCATTTGAGGGTTTAGGGTTTAGAGGTTCGAAATTCAGGGTTCAAAGGTTTTTGGAAAAGGGTTCTGGGATCAGGGTCAATGGAGCTTGTGCAGGCTCTAAGGCGTTGGGGCTTGTGGCGCCGTATGGTTCACGGCCTTAGAAACCTCAGGGGAGGGCTTCAAGCTGTTTTAAAAGGTTCGGGGCTTCGTGTACCCGTGGTTCAGGGTTTCTATACTGCCCTTAGAACCATAGTAAACAAATACCAGTTTAAACCTCCCCATGTGTTTTCAAATCAGGCTCGGACCCTTTGGCGCATAACTTGGTAGCCGAGTAACCATATTACAGTAAGGGTGCCCTTTTTGTTTTTTTTTTTTGGGGGGGGGGGGTTGGCTGCTTCAGATGAGAACCTTGAACCAAAAACAGGGGAAAAGGGTACCACTGGGCCACCCTGAACCCTAAACCCTAAACCCTAAACCTAAACCCTGAACCCTGAACCCTGAACCCTGAACCCTAAACCCTAAACCCTAAACCCTAAACCCTAAACCCTAAAACTCCAGGAAGGGCAAAAGGGCACCACTGGGCTAACCAGGTGAGCCCAAGGCGCTGAAAGAGTCGGATTTCGTTGCTTCGCCTTGAGGCCGCCACCTCACCCAGACCGGTTTAGGGTTGCGACCTTCCACGTAAGGAGTTTGGGGTTTAGGGTTTAGGGTTTGGGGTTTAGGGTTTAGGGTCTAGCGCTTAGGGCTTAGGGCTTGAAATCTTTGGGAATTTCAGAGGGCGGAGTGAGCTTCGAACCCTAACCCCTGAGCCCTAAGCCCTAGACCGCCTAGACCCTAAACCCTAAACCCTACACACATGAAAAAAACAAAACTGCTTCCGGAGGGTCAAGGTGCAGTCAGCGTGCTGCTGCCGCGCAGTGCTGTCACCTGCCATGGAGTTAAGGATTTAGGGTTTAGGGTTTGGGGTTGAGGGTTTAGGGGTTTAGGGTTCAGGGTTCAGGGTTTGGGGTGTAGGGTTTTAGGGTTTAGGAATTGGGGGTTTAGGGGTTAGGGTTTGGGGTTCGACGTTTGGAGCTTGGGGGTCTCAGTGGAAAGGTTAAGGTTCCTTCACAGCCAGCTCGGGCAATAGGTCCTTACAGGCAGATTTCGGCTTCCCTCGTAGGTTACTTTTTCATGCAATGATTCCAAGTATTGACGCTTGCTGTACTACGGTCTAGCCTGATGATAAGAAATGTTCTCAAACAAGAAATTAGACTCTGGCCGGCCTAGAAACAAAAATATTTGAGACTCTCGCCCAGGAGAAAATCCCATTTTGTCATTCTGTTAGCTTATGCAGAATTTCAGGCTACGAAGGGCCTATAAGGGTTTCATTACGGGGAGAAAGGGACCAAAACAAGGAACTGCCCCCCCCCCCCACCCCCCCCCCGACAGCCTTTCAACAGAAGAAACTGTTGGCAACGGCTGCTTCCAGCAGGTTTTCTACGTTTCTTTCCGGGTGGGGGCCCGCGACCCGCACAAGTTGGAAAGCGCAAAGCTCCAAATCTCGCGCTTTCCAACTCCCTCACCAAAGGGACCCCCCCCCTCCTTACCCCAAGGGCCCCACCGGCCAAATAAGAAATCTCTTTAAGACTCTCACCAGGATTCCAACTTTCTTATTTCAACTGGCGATATAAGAAATATCTGAGACTCCAAACAAGTTTTGTGGTTTTCGCAATATACAGTTCGACCGTAGATACTGTAGCCTAACTCGGAGGTTTACATCACATAAGTTATATGATGTTGTTAACAAACCTGATTCCTCTACAACAGAACCCTAAAGCCTAAACCCGAAACCCTAAACCCTAGACCCTAAACGCTAAACCCAAACCCCCAAAACCCAAATTCTCACACCTCGAAGCCGACTTCGACGTGCGACGTGGCGCCGATGCACCTGGCGTAAGCAGTGAAGGTCTTAGTTGTCTTTTTGTGTGTGTGTTTTTTTTCATTTTTTTTTTTTTGGGGGGGGGGGGGGTAAGAGGGGTTAATGTTGGACCTGCTTTAATAAGTTACCCCCCCCCCTCAACAGTCGCGACCCTGAATAAAAAAAGACCCCAAACAGTCGGGGGGGGGGGGGTCCGGAGCCCGGAGGCCTCCCTAAGCTACCCCCGACCCTGGAAAGGTCGAGGCTTCAGGCTTCAAGTATCCCTTCTTCTCGAGAAAGCTTATGCCTTCCTGAAAACCGAAGGACTGAGCCCCGGGCCCCGGGAGCTTGCATTATAGCGGGCCCCCAAACAAAGGTATTAAAGTGTGTCCGGAGGCCTCCGTAAGGTACCCCCTTTCCGGATATGATTCGCCTATGGAATCATCTAGTTTTAAGTAAGGAATTTATAAAGAAAAGGCGCCCTGAAAAAAGAAGATTGTCGGAGATCCTGGACAGGTCGAGGCTTCAGGCTTCAAGTATCTCTCCTTCTCGAGAAGCTTATGCCTTCCTGACACCCTCAAAAAAACAGTCACGGCCCGAAAACTTTTCATTATAGCGGACCCCCAAAACAGAGGGTCCAGATCCTGAATAGCCGGAAAACTTTTCATAATAGCGGCCCCCTAGAATATTGCGGGTGCAACATTAGGGTTTAGGGTTTGGGGTCTGGTTTCGGGCGTAGGGATTGTTTGAGGGTTCAGCAAGTTTTGCCGATGTTCTGGCCTTCAGGGCTGTTCGGGGGCTTAGGTTTTACTGAGAGAGGGGTGTAGGGCTCAGGCTTAGGGGTTCTTGCTAGGCATTGTGGCCTTCTTCTGGCGATCCATCTTTGTGTCTGGATTTTAGGCTTGATGGAAGTCTCGCCTGTCTCGCCTCTGCGTGCAAGCTCTTACCTGTTCTTTCTCTCTCTGCTAGCTGGTCACCCCAAACCCCAGCTCTGCAGATTGGTGTTCGGGTTTAGGGTTTATAGGGTTTACAGGGTTTACAGGGTTTCTGGGGCTTCTAAAGGGTTTCTATAGGGTTTCTAGGGTTGATAGACTTTCTGTGGCTTTTAGGGTTCTAGGGCTTATAGGGTATAGGTTGGGATGTCACTGACACTCCTTAATGGGATTAAGGACTGAGAGTAAAAAGGGGGGTATTGGGGTGTCTAGCCCGAACCCTAAACCCTAAACCCTAAAGCCTAACCCCTAAACCCTAAACCCTAACCCCTAAACCCTAAACCCTAAACCCTAAACCCTAAACCCTAAACCCTAAACCCTAAACCCTAAACCCTAAACCCTAAACCCTAAACCCACCCTGGCCTGGGTTCGCACTTCGGAGACATTGCTGGCAGCGACTCGGCCGGCGTGGGAACCTCGGGGCGCGATCGAGGGATAGCTCCACCTTTTCCTGGGTTTAGGGTTTAGGGTTTAGGGTTTAGGGTTTAGGGTTTAGGGTTTAGGGTTTGGGGTTTAGGGTTTAGGGTTTGGGGTATAGGGTCCTTTGAACCCCTTTGCAAAAATATGAAAGATGTGGAGGCCCCTTGTAGAACCAGGCAAAAGGGAACAGTCAAATATATCAAAGGCCAACCGAGTACAGGAATGATAGAAACCCTAAACCCTAAACCCTAAACCCTAAACCCTAAACCCTAAACCCTAAACCCTAAACCCTAAACCCTAAACCCTACAGCCAAAGTCCTGTCATCCTCTGGGCGCCCCAGAACATTCTAACAGGCAATGCCCTACTCAAATCAAATGGGCCTAGACTCAGAGCCCTGAACCAGCCACAAGCTAATTCCCTAAACCCTAAACCCTAAACCCCTTGCAAACATATTGCTAATCACTGTTTGGATGACGCATTTCGTACTTTTGCGGAGTCGTTTGAGCACCTTGTTGCGCAAGCGCATGATAGCCTGGGGTTGGGGAACCTCCCAGTCAAGTTTTTGGGTAGAGCTCGTGGTCGCCTTCTACCGCAACGCGATGCTGGCTATTCTCTTTCTAACAATGGTCACGTTTTGTCAGATCAGAAATCCTTTCGTTTGCGACAGCAATTAGTGAGAAAACTTCGGGAGCTGGTACGGTCCATGGAACAACAAATGCCATGCAATGCTGCTCTGAATTTGCAGCGTTGGCACGCTATTGTCAATGCCCGTGGGTTTCCAAATGGTTTTCCTCAATGGGTGCTGGACAATGATATTGCAGATTATGTCCCGGAGATGCCTTCTTTACAATGGCTCCAATCAGTGCTTCAGGCAGTGCTTTATGAGGAAGAGCAGTGGGTTTCGGTCGTGAAGGCTAGGCAATACCAGCTGAATAAAGCCCGTATGGATGCGGATTGGGAGGCCGGGGGGTCCATGCACGCTGCCGCTTTGAAACAGTTGTCCGCGCCCTCGCTTCAAAGCTTAGCGCAGGCTACTCCTGTCCAGGTGGCGCCGCTGAGAACCACTAAAGGTACGCCAGCTTCATATCGAGTTGTGCAAGGTCCTTTACCTCATCCAGGAGATGTGTGGAAAGTTGGGAAGAACAAGGCTCTGATTAAGCGAGTGGAGGGCGATTTTGTCACATTGGATGTGCCTTATAAGGAGGGGATGCGAGTCCGGGAGGTGAGCCACCTTACCTGGAACTCTGACCCGGCCTTCTTGGCTGGTGAAATTTCTTCTTTCTGGAAGCAGTTCTGGCATTCTCCCAAGCGGGCTGATCTGGATTTCGTCCAGAATCAGCTTCGGTTCTTACCATCTCTGCAGCCGTTTGATGACCATATCTCGGTTACTGAACTGCAGTGGGTTCTGAAGAAGTTGCCAAAGAAAAAAGCTCGAGGACTTGATGGTTTCTCGAATGCGGAATTGAAGGCGATGCCTGCTGATTTGCGCGCAATGCTGCTGACTTTATTAAATACGTTTACGCAAACGGCTGTTTGGCCCCAGGTACTCACACAAGCTGTGGTTTCTCTTTTGTCCAAGGTTGATGTCCCAACTGAGGCAAGCGATGCTCGTCCCATTACTATATTAGGGACGATCTACAGAGTGTGGGCGACATGTATGACAATGAAGATTATTGTGCATCTTTTGCCATCGTTACCCTCAACGTTGTATGGATGTATTCCAGGGCGATCCCCCATGGATATGGCGTGGTCGTTGCAGTCCTCGATTGAGGAAACGTTTTATTCGCAGGCGTCGCTTGCAGGTGCATCAATGGACCTTACCAAGGCTTTTAACTTGATCCCGAGAGATGGGTTCCAGGTAATTGCGCGTCAGCTTGGATGGCCCAACACGTTGCTTAGGGCCCATGATGCTTTTCTGAGAGGGCTTAATCGGTTTTTCTGCTTTGGCGGCACTTTGTATCGCCCCACTTCCTCGTCAGTTGGAGTTCCAGAAGGCTGCCCTGTATCTGTGGCGGCTATGATGGTTATTACTTGGGTTGCAGACGCGCGCATGAGAACGATGACGCATGTATCTTTACACAGTTATGTGGACAACTGGTCTGTTCAGCATAGTGATGCAAATATAGTTCTGCAAGCTACAGCAAATGCAGTGGAGACAATTGAGTCGTTGGCCATGTCTATGTCTTTTGACAAGCTGAAGATGTACGCCACAGATGTGAAAGCGCGAAAGTTCCTGAGAGCTTCCCAAATCTCAGGTCACTCTCTGCAAGTGGTTCATGATTTTAAGGATTTAGGGGTTTTCTTTTGTGCTGTTCAGGGTCAAACAGCCAAAGGGTTCAATGTCAGATTCGAGAAGATGCAGCACCGTTTTCAAAAACTTCAAGTGGTTCGGTGGTCTGACTTTCGTAAAGCCAAGAGTTTATCCAGAGTCATCTTGCCTGGAGTTCTGTATGGGTCTGAGCTGGTGCATATATCCACTAGTTCATTTCGCAAGCTGCGTGGAAGATGTTCTTCGGCCCTTTGGGGTCGTTCGAATCAGCGGGATCACTTTCTCGCGCCACTCCTTTCTGCAGCAGATATCTATGAGCCATTCTTGATCGTTTTTCAAAAGCGATGGCAATCCCTGCAGAAAGGAATAAGACAGGACCCCGTGAATATAGTACGGCATTGGAACATGGTTCTTGCAGCGGGCCACAGTATGCTTGTGGGTCCCATATCTTATTTCCAAGAGCAATTGGCACGCGGTTAGGGTTGCGGGGTTGTTTCCAGTGCCGTCTCAGCAGTCCAATCACTTCCGATTCTTGAATGAAATTCCTGACGTTCAGTTTGAACCGATTTTGGATGAGTCAGTTCATTTTTTCACAGATGGGTCTACAAAGTACGGCACCAACCAATGTCTGGCTTTGTCATCATGGGCTATCGTGAGGGCCTCCCCTGAATCGCTGCAGTCAGTGAAAGTGGCGTCTGGTTGTCTGCCGGGTGCTTTGCAGACAAACAACAAGGCTGAGCTCTACGCCATCTGGCAGGTGTTAAGACACGCTGTCTCTGGTGTTATATACACGGATAGTAAATATTGTTTTCATGGCTGCCGTCTGCTGCAACGACGAGGCTGGATCGAGTCTGATTGGCGCAGATTTTCTCATTATGGCTTGTGGAGGAAAGTCTGGGAAGCTTTTGGTGATCACGCTCAACGATGGCAGTTCGTTAAGGTCGCCAGTCATCAACGTCATGATCAGGCGCACTCCTTTTTCGAGTTGTGGTGTTCTACTCACAACGATGCTGCAGACGGTGAAGCGAAGAAAGCCAATCTGCTCCGGACAAGTGACTTCTGGAACAATCATAGCCATCTTCAGCGGGTTTTTCGTGACAGAGGTGAAGCTCAGAAAAAGCTGGCACTGTTACAAGACAGAGTATCCGTTATTTCAAAACGTACGGCTGCTGACGCTGGTCAGCAGGTCTGGGATATTGCTGAAGATCTTTGGGCCATTCATAGAAACAAGCTTCGGATGCTGCAGAATGATAGATTCCAGTCAATGCCATCGGGGGAGCTAGAGTTTGATGGCGATGGATTTCTTATGCATCAGCCATTCGCAACACTGCTTTGGGACTTCCTGCGGCATCAGCAGTGGAGTTCTGATTCTGATGGTTTTTCTCTTTATGAGCTGTATTTTTTATTTACACGCCGCACTGGTTGGCTTGCTCCTGTTAATATTGCGAAAATTCCAAGTAAGCAGAGGCCGCTGGCGTTGCAATCCTGTATTGCCAAGGCATGCTGGGCTCATGAGACTGATTGGGCTCATCTTCTGCTGGTGCGTCCTACGCTATCAGAGCAATGTCGCATTTTCTTCTTCATTCTGAGAGCTGTTTTTCACCGTATGTCTATTCCTTGGCAGATAGTTGAGGGCCAGTTGAGGGAAAGGCATTAAGATGTATAGGTATCAATTTCAAAGTGCAGTGTCTTCATTGGAGACCCCTCTGTACTTGTGATAGTTCCACCCTTGATGCTTTAAGAGTCTTTCTGGGCGGGAATGTCACACGCCGTGGTCTGCAATCGATTTACTCGATTTCTACGGCTGCTGTGGCGAGGCCTGTTCCGTTAATGTCTTTCGATAGTCTTTGGAGGTTGCACAGACGACCACATTAAGCTAATGAGGTCTATTCCTCCGTTGTAGTAATCCACAAGTGATTTTGCTTCTGGATTGTCCATGGGACCGCTTGCATAAACCCCAAACCCTAAACCCTAAACCCCACCCCCACTTCGCGCACCTCCGGTCCAAGCTTTGGCGTGGCCGCCTTCCCCGGACCGCTCTGGCAAGCCTCCATCTTGGGGTAGTTGGATGGGCCCTATAGGGTTTAGGGTTTAGGGTTTTAGGGTTTTAGGGTTTGGGTTTAGGGTTGAGGCCCTCAATTTGGAAGCCCTGGTATGCCCTTCACACACCCTGTTCTATCCCCGAGAGGCCCTGTAGACCCGTAAACCCTAGTAAGGGTTGTTCGCGCGTAGGAAAGCATTTAGCGTATGAAGGCAACCCTAAACCCTAAACCCTAAACCCTAAACCCTAAACCCTAAACCCTAAACCCTAAACCCTAAACCCTAAACCCTAAACCCTAAACCCTAAACCCTAAACCCTAAACCCTAAACCCTAAACCTGAATTCGCCGTGTGTTCTCATCCCGGGACTCCAACAATCACCGAGGGAGCCGAGGTTGGAGGGTTCGAGGGATTAGGGCTCCCAAAGGATTTTTGGGTTTGGGGGTTTGGGGGTTTGGGGGTTTAGGGTTTAGGGTTTAGGGCTGAGGGTTGAGGGTTCAGGGTTTACAGTTTAGGTCTTCTATAGGATGAAGGCTTTGGGGCGGTTTGGAGCATCGGGCTTCGGATTTATGTCAGGCTTTGGGGGGGTTTAGGGTGTAGGGTTTGTGGGTTAATTGGGTCCCCGACCTGAGCTACGCCCGAAACAAGGGCCAGGCAAGTCTGGCTTAAGGGCCCTTGGGGGGTTGCTTCTTGCTTTCCAGGCCCTTCAGCCCCAAGACAACCCCGAAAACTCCTAGGGTTTAGGGTTTAGGGTTTGGGGTTTAGGGTTTAGGGTTTAGGGTTTAGGGTTGTCGGAGAGTCTGGGGCATTGTTACAGGAGCCCGAGGGGCTGCCAGACAGAGCCGGTAGTGGTGAACGTTCTGGGACAGGGCCGCGTAGTTCTTGAAAGGATCCTCAAGGGTTTAGGGTTTAGGGTTTAGGGTTTAGGGTTTAGGGTGATCCTCACAGGAGCGCTTAGGGTGGGGGCTCAGGTAGGTGTTCCAGGATTGAGGGTTTTGGGGATGTTGGGGTTTCAGAACTCGCATCCTCTAGGGTCTATGGTTTAGGGTTTAGGGCTAGGGTTTAGGGTTTAGGGCTCAGGGTTTAAGGCTTAGGGTTTAGGGCTTAGGGTCTAGGGGCTAAGGGTGCAGGGTCGTGGGATTGGGGGGGGGGGGGGGGGGGGGTTTGGCATCCACCTTGGGTCTGTTGCCTTTTTTGTGGCTGAGGGCTTAGGGGGCCCAGCGGCTTAGGCTGAGGGTATAGGTTGTAGGGTTTGGGGGCTTTAGGGTTTCAGGGTGGAGGCCTGAGATTTTTGTTTTGCGGGGTGGGCTTGGGCTTGCGGATTTCCGAAGCTCGGGACTTAGGGCCTTAGGGTCTGGGATTAGGTTTAGGGTTTAGGGTTTAGGGTTTAGGGTTTAGGGTTTAGGGTTTAGGGTTTAGGGTCTCCATGGTTCTAGCTTTTTGATTTCGGGGTTTTGGGGTCTTTGCGGTTCGGGGCTTTCGGGCTCAGGACTTTGTGGCTCAGAGCGTTCTAGAATTCTGTGCTGAGAACATTGGAGGATCAAGGTCTTTGGAGCTTGGAGCTTAAGGGGATTTAGGGTTTAGGGGGCAAACGGGCGTAGGACATTGCTTGTGACTCCCTCCAACATCGCTTGCATATGAAGACGAGTTGAAGAACCTGGGTTCGCTGACTGGAAGGCCTCAAAGAATCAAAGACTCTAAATTTCAGGGTTCTGTATTCAAAAAAGGGTCGCATCAAGGTAGGGTGCTGTGACGGCTGTGCTCAAAATAGCCCAAACCCTAATTAAGACGTATAGCCAATACAACAAACCCTAAAACCCCCTAAACCCTAAACCCTAAACCCTAAACCCCAAACCCCAAACCCTAAACCCTAAACCCTAAACCCTAAACCCCAAACTCCAAACCCTAAACCCTAAACCCCAACCCTAAATCCCAACAAAAAACAAACAAAAACCCTGCCTCGGCTGCCAAAGACCTTTCCGTGCTCTGAGCCAGGCTCGGCCAGTCGCTTAGGCATTCAGCACGGGCCAGCCTGAGGATCGTAGGGTTTAGGGTTTAGGGTTTAGGGTTTAGGGTTGAGGGCTGAGGGTATCCAGACCCGAACCCTTGAACCTAAGGCCTAAAACATCAACCCTAAACCCGTCCATAAACCCTAATTACACCCAAAACACTGAGCCTGGTCAAGGGCTAAACGCTCTACTCCAAACCCTGCACCCTACTCAAACCCACAAACCTAAACCCAAAACCCAAAACCCAAAACCCTAAACCCCCTAAGCTTGGTATAAGGCCGAACTGCATCCTCCACAGTGTCTGGTCGGTCAGTGCACTTTGATGCACGCCGCGGCAGCTGCACAGAAGAGCCGACGCGGCTCCTGAGCACACGAGCTTGGTGGGTTTAGGGTTTAGGGTTTAGGGTTTAGGGTTTAGGGTTTAGGGTTTAGGGTTTAGGGTTTAGGGTTTAGGGTTTAGGGTTTAGGGTTTAGGGTTTAGGGTTTAGGGCTTAGGGTTTAGGGTTTAGGGGCTTGCTTATGGAGGTTTAGGGTTTAGGGTTGGTAGGTTAAGAGCCGAAGAATAACTGCCCTGTTTTTTAGCATGGGGATCCCAAAAGAGAGGAAATACCTTGGCTGCACTTAGGAGGGTAGTAAAAAAACTAAACTTTGAGCTGCCTTATTAAGAAACCCAATAAACCCAAAAAGGCTAAAGATCTAAAGTTACAGTAGAGCACCACCAAGATACAGATATGACCGAGACATCCTGTTGAGGGCTTAAGGGTTTGAGGGGTTGAGGGACTTGCACCTGTTGGCAAAGGCCAGCAACCCCCCGAACCCCCCCCCCCCCCCCCCCAACCCTAAACCCTAAACCGTGAACCCTAAACCCTAAACCGTGAAGCCCCTCAACCCTAGTCTCCCCCCCCCTCGCCCGCAGCGCCGCCTGAGATGACGCAGGGATCATGCAGGTGGTAAAGCAGCCGCTCCCAGACGTTGCCGGGCCTGAGAGGGGCCGGGGGTTTAGGGTTTAGGGTTTAGGGTTTAGGGTATAGGGTTGGTTCGGCCCGATTTCGAGGCAAGTTCCGGTCGAGTTTCTGGTGCTTTGGCATCTTCATTTTAGTGGGGTGGTCCCGTGTTGGCGTTGGCTGCCGTAGTGTTGTTCGTAGCCACAGAATTCACACCTCAACGCATTTCAACTGCACCACTGTAGTTCTCTGAGAGCAGGCCAGAGCACATATCCTTCACTCGATGGGCAGTTCTCTACAATAGGGTCCCTTGTTTTTGAGAAGGTCGCCGTATTCTACAAGGGGTCCAAAAAAGGGAACTACGACCTTCACAAGAGAGTAACCCTGCAAGAGTCGGAGCATGACTGAGCACATCTGCACGCGAGTGAAACAAGACACCGCGCCCCTGCGCTGTTTGCTCCCTACCAAGCCCCCAGTCAGGGTCCCTTTGTGGGGCTGTTCAGGGGGGTAAGGGGGATTGAAACTCCCTTTCTGAATTCTTCAAACTTGAAAGAACAGCTGGAACCAAAACAAATGCAGTCATAAAATCCCGAAGCCCTGAAACCTAAATCCAAAACCCTACGAAGCCACCCTGCGCACCAAGCGGCCACAGCATCATCAGCTCCGCCGTGGGTTGCTCTCCCCGCGGTGCTGCGCGATCCCCCGGACCTAGACAAACCAAGTCTGCGGGTTTTCTTGAAGGCTCTTAAGGGTTTAGGTTTAGGGTTTAGGGTTTAGGGTTTAGGGTTTAGGGTTTAGGGTTTAGGGTTTAGGGTTTAAATTGAGCCTAACCCCCAAGCCCTAAACCCTAACTCCCAAACCCTAAACCCTAAACCAAGCCCCTGAAACGCCTACAGCCCTTAAGGCCCTGAAACCCCAAACCTAATCGAGTACCCAAACCAAAACCCTCTAAACCCTAAACCCCTGAACCCTCCCCAAACCCAAACCCTAAACCCTAAACATCCCAAACCCTAAACCCTCAAAGCCCTTCTTACCTGCAAGGGCTGGGGCCCCAGGCCATGCAGTGCCAAGAAGGAGTCCCAGAGCCTCTGGTGGTTCAGGGTTTAGGGTTTAGGGTTTGGGATCATTCGTGAAGGGAGGGCGGGGGCGCTGGGGGGGGCACAACTCCTCCCCCTAAACACAAGTCCAGTTTTTTTTTTACATGTGATAAAGGGGCTTGTTTATTCTTGTACTAGGGAGGAGGGGATGAAGGTAAACCTGAGGCTCAGGAGGCTCATTTTCAGTCGCTTAGGCCCAGAGATCATGCTAAGTAGGCATGTTCAAGCTTGGTCCTGTGACGCTGGATGTCTTGAAAGGACAGGCCAGGATTCAAGAAACACTTGATAGTCTTAGTATACTTATGATTACCAAAACTTCAGTTTACGAAAAACAATGGTTTGTGAGTATTCTATGGGTCTCTGGGGGCGGGTAGCAGGCCGGGGAGGAGGGTGGCAGAGAGATGCAAGCAAAGAACCATTGAAGAACCTGGCGTGTTTCGTTTGCCAAACAAAATAGTTGGTGTACATACAGCTGAAAGTTTATAAAGTTTAGGGTTTAGGGGCTGAATGATGTTTATGAAACACCCACGTATGCGATCTGTTGATTGTTTCTGTGCGGGCTTTGGAGACCGGGTGTTTCGCAGGGCCACCAGTTCTTCTTCTTAGGGTCTTAGGGTCTGAGGGTCTTAGTGTTTAGGGTTTATCTGATTGAGGGTCTAGGGCTTCACACTGATGCTTCGCGGGCTTAGGTTTTAGGGTGGTCAAAGTTTTGGATTTCATGGCTGACAGGGCATATGCTTTCCTCGGCACTGTTCTACTAATTGCATAAGAACCCGAAAAAATGAATATATTCTTCCTTATTAAGGGTAACACAGGGATTGTTGTTTTTTTTTGCTTTTTTTGAGGTTCTTAAGCAAATAGTAGGGTTGAGGAAAGAGGCTGCTGCCGGTCAGGCCGCCCGAGGTGACGGCACCACACGACTTCACCTGAACGACGGCAACGCTGCTACTTTTTCATACAGTGGCAAGATACTATGCTCCTTAAGTCTAGGAACCCCAGCAAGGGTACCCCTATTCTAGACCCTAAACCCTAAACCCTAAACCCTAAACCCATGATCATCTCCGTGAAGGCCAGGCCTTTGTAGAGCACGAAGGCCACCGTCTGGAGCAGGGCGTGCCGGGCCATATGGCACGGGGCAGAGTCCAAGAGCTGAAACAGCTTGGACGTCTCCAGCGCCTGGCCAAGGGTTTAGGGTTTAGGGTTTAGGGTTTAGGGTTTAGGGTTTAGGGTTTAGGGTTTAGGGTTTAGGGTTTAGGGTTTAGGGTTTAGGGTTTAGGGTTAGGTTTAGGGTTTAGGGTTTAGGGTTTAGGGTTTAGGGTTTAGGGTTTAGGGTTTAGGGTTTAGGGTTTAGGGTTTAGGGTTTAGGGTTTAGGGTTTAGGGTTAGGGTTTAGGGTTTAGGGTTTAGGGTTAGCCTGGTGAGTGGCCAGAGCCACCAGAGAACTCAGTATATAACAAGAATGTCGTGCCACGAAAGACTGGGCTCTTGCTAACCCTAAACCCCAAGCCCTAAGCCCTAAACCCTAAACCTCAAACCCCAAACCCTGAAGTTCCTGAACAAGCATCCAGAAAACCAAGTCATGTCGAGAGGCCTCCACGTAGGCCACATGGCTTCCGCTGCTGCTGGAAGGCGGAGAGGACCCGGACAGCCACCGCACGGGCGTAACATGTTGATAGCGACCTTGGCAAAGGTTTGGGTGTATAGGGTTTAGGATTTAGGATTTCGGGTTTAGGGTTTAGGGTTTAGGGTTTGGGGTTTAGGGTTTGGGTTTAGGGTTTAGGGTTCAGGGTTTAGGGTTCAGGGTTAGTTTTGTTTTTTAAAGCACTCCCTAGGGTTTAGGGTTTAGGGTTTAGGGTTTAGGGTTTAGGTTCTAGGGTTTAGGGTTTAGGGCCAGGTTGGCAACAGTCAAGGGACTACAGGAGGGACCCTTATCATAATGAGGGACCTTCGGGGTTCTTTAGGGGTTCTTAGGGGCCACTTAGGTATATGGGGACTATATATCTGCATAGATATATCATGTATATATAGATATGTATACATATTACATATATATATACACACACATATATGGGGGTTATACCCTTTTCAACAGACTGCAGGGCGCTTGCTAGGGAACTTAGATTAAGTTGCCATCATAGGTTTTTTGTAAACTTAAGTGCAATCTTGTAATTTCCTGAGCCAGACTGTATTGACTGCATTGCTGGCTACTTCTCTGGCTCGTCGTGGACACTTGATACTTAAACGGATGACCGTTTGCACAGCAGAGATCAATCAAGCTGGCGCAAACGCTTGATGCAAGTTGCCAATTGGAATTGCTCTGCAAGCATGCCAGGCTCGACGGAAGTGGTGCGCACGAAAACAATAGCAGATTCTTCAACCCTATAAACCCTAAACCCAAGATGAGCACGTAACATATCGAAAGGATCACCGTGCACCCTTGGGCATTTCCCGAAATTAGAACGCCCCTACTTGCAGCTCCAATATATTGTCGTCCTTACTATAGTATAGGAACCACAAACAAGTGTATCTCTCATATGGGAAACCCCGTTATAAGGTTCCCAGCTTTCTACCGTGTTCGGGACTATGATCTGCGACCGCACTGTCTGAGGCGCGGGGCAGTGCTGGCCATACCTGACGCAATTTTTTGTTGGTCGTCATTGGGGCATGGCATGGTTTAGGGAAACCCTAAACCCCAAACTATTTCTTTTGGGGGGGAGGGGCTTTGGGGCTGAAAGTCGTTCACCAACTTCGCGCGAACGAGGCCACAGCAGGCGGAGACAACGCAAAAAGGGGGAGCCCGAACCACTCAAAAGTCCGGCAAGGGCATGTCTAACACCCCAAGCATGCCCCAAAGCCACCTTTTCTGAGCTCTGACGTAGTTTTGGGGGTTTCCGAAAATAGGGGGTGCCCTTTTTGGCGGATCCATTTCGCGATGATTGATTCTCTAGAAGCCCTAAACCCTAAACCCTAAACCCTAAACCCTAAACCCTAAACCCTAAACCCTAAACCCTAAACCCTAAACCCTAAACCCTAAACCCGAAACGCTGCGCCGCCCCCCAGCCTGCATTCCCCACGTAGTAGGTGATGCCGACAGAGATCCGGCAGCTCCGAATTCTCCACAAGCACTGTGAAGCTAGCGGCCTCCGTGCACTCCTGGGGGGTTTAGGGTTTAGGGTGTAGGGCTTAGGGTTTAGGGTTTAGGGTTTGCTGTGAGAGGGCGTAGGTGCTGTGAAGGTTAGGTTTCGGAACAAGCTCGAAAGCTTCGTGAGGTGCGAAGAGCAGCTTTGGCCCGATTGTGGAGGGCCATCTAACACTTTTCTCCCACCCCACGCCGTCCAAGGCGGCAAAGCCGCCCAAACCTATTCCTTTTAGGGTTTAGGTTTAAACTCAGACAACAGTCCACTTCTAAAAACTTATTCAGTTTCATGACGTTCGTTGGGTCCGAGACTCGAAGGAATTGGGGGGTCGGGAGGCAGTTTCAGGAAGGGTTGCAGGACGTGGGGGGCCAGGGCGGGCGGAGGGGGGGCGGGGAGCCAGCGAGGGGGGGCAGGGCGTCAGGGGCCAGGCGGCCGAACTAGGTTTTGGGGCTTTGGGTCTAGGTCATCCCTGAAGGTGGCTCAATTTGTTTTCTCAAGCATGAACCGATGGACAATATAACCCCCCGCTGGTTACCCCGACCCGGACCCCCACAACATGAACCCTATGATATCTAGACCCAAGAGTAACCCAGGAAAAAAAGGTGCCCTTTCTTGGCCTCAAAGGGGGTGATAGGAACCTAAACCCCCCAGAAAAGGGGAAGAAGGATCTACTCTGGGTCCAGGTTCATGTATTACGCGTATCCAGGGGGCTTAGGATTAAGAGCGGTTTGCCATGAAATTCGGCGGTGGCCGCATGTTGTATTCTTGAGGCCTCTTCCCCGGCTATAGCAACAGCCGGGCAGCCAGAAGATCGTACCTCACGCGGTTGAGGACATCCTGCGCCAAGGTCATGATGTAAGGCATTTTTCAAAACCATCCCTAAAAATCACGAAAGTTGAAAGCCCTCCTGTAACCGGAGCCCTGAATACTTAAACCTTACAGCCTAAACCCTGCACCTAAAACCGCGTCTACCCTCTAAACCCTAAACCCTGAACCCCTAAGCCCCCTAAACCCTAAACCCTAAACCCTAAGCCCTAAGTCCTAAACCCTAAACCCTAAGCCCTAAGCCCTAAACCCTACACCAAAAAATAAACAAGCCTGGGTAGCTCGGCCTCCACCCCGGTGGCTCCCTCGCGCAGCTGCGCTCGCGTGATCGGCCTCCGTTCCCACGGGCACTGGCAAGGGTGTAGGGTTAGGGGTTTAGGGTTTAGGGTTTAGGGTTTAGGATTTAGGGTTTAGGGTTTAGGGTTCTTAGGGCTTCTATGGGGGTTTACGATATCAGAGACCCAACCCTGATCAGTCAGGCCGCGTCATGGCTGTGTCATCGAGGGCCTTGGGCAGTGCTGGTCACGAGGAGGGGTTTGGATGCTGATGTATGGTTGAGGGTTTAGGGTTTAGGGGGCATATGGGGGGTTTAGGGTTTAGGGTTTAGGGTTTAGGGTTTAGGGTTTAGGGTTTAGGGTTTAGGGTTTAGGGTTTAGGGTTTAGGGTTTAGGGTTTAGGGTTTAGGGGGCATAGGGTTTGGGGGTTCAGGGATCTGGGGGCGTAGAGTGAAGGCTTAATTATCTGGGTCTACAAACACCTGAAGCTTGCTGGGTTCTACCTGCTAATGCAATCAGGGAGCACGTGCTACTCTACCGAAAGTTCGCACGTAATATAGGAGCCGGAATAATTTGAATAGGGTTTTGGGGCTTGTTCTAGTATGTTTGTGAAGGGACCCTAAGGGAATACTAGTAGCAATTCTTCCGACCCCTTTATTATTAGAGCTTAGGGTTTCCAGCGCTAGGGGGGGGGCCCTGGGCTGTAAAGCCTTTCGGACGGCGCTCGGTAAGTGCCAAGGAGCCCGGGAAGTGCGCCGGCGATGCTTCTCAGGCGTCTTTGGCGACATCCTGCCGCAGAACTCGTGAGAAGCTAAACCCTAACAGCTAAAACCTAAACCCTAAACCCTAAACCCTAAACCCTAAAACCTACCAAGCCAGAGAAAGGTTTCGGAAAGTTGAGCCCTCGAAATGCTTGGTAGGTCGATGCGTGCAGAACTTTTGGCAGCACACAATTCTACTTGTTGCGGCCGGGTCGCTGCGGAGAGAGATACGGAGACATTCCTGGGTGCAGGCTTGTAGGGTTTAGGTTGGGATGTTCCCCCGTATACTAACAGTCCCTAGTAGGGACGATCATGGGGTACCTTAAACCCTAAACCTTATACCCAAAACCCTGAACATTTAGGTTTTGGATACAGGCTATGATGGGCCCTTGAGACCTTCAGAAAGAATACTCCTGAATATGATCCTCTTAACCCCAATTTGAGGGAAGATCGACAAACCCTAAACCCTAAACCCTAAACCCTAAACCCTGACCTATTCCGAAGGCCTACCCAGCAGGGGTTTCATAGGGTATCCCGAAGGTGCCAGCGATAGGGCACCCAACGGAATCTATGGCTGCGTCAGCAGACATGACAGGGTTCGCTTAGCACCGGTTTGGGCTTCAGGTTTAGGGTTTAGGGTTTAGGGTGTAGGGTGTAGGGTGTAGGGTGTAGGGTTTAGGGTTTAGGGTTTAGGGTTTAGGGTTTAGGGTTTAGGATACAAACTCCAAGCTGAGCCTGGCGACGAAAGGTGCGGATGCGCAGCTGGGGCAGCCGGGCGTTGCTTGACCACGTCGGCGCATCCTCGCCTTTGATTGCTAATTAGGGTTGAGGGATTAGGGTTTAGGGTTCGGGCTTACCTGGAATAACCTGCCTTTGCGCATACATATAAACAAATCTTCATATGTGTGCATATATGAAGTAGGGTATATATTTCTTGTACCCCCAAAAGGACACCCAATACATACACTCACCAACATTAAAAGGGAACCTTCTATACACTCACCAAAAACAGATATATAAAGCCTGCTTCATATACTCGACCCGGGACTAACCTAGGAATAAACAGCGTGCCCTTTTTGGGTTTAAGGGGGCTATAAGGAAACCCCAACCCTAAAAAAAGGAAAAAAGGGCCTACTCCCGGTCCTAGTGTATATATACATATATATATATATATATAAACAAATTATACACACAGATGCGTACTATTATGTTAGAGACATGTGGGTTGCCCTAGTTTTGGGGTCTGGTAGTTTGCCTGTTTCAAGGCACTATGGCAACTCTCCCTGCGAACCAGCTATGACCTAGACCCAAGCGAAACCTCGGAATAGAAAGGGTGCCCGTTTTGGTTTAAAGGCGCTTATGAGTGAGGGAACATAAACTCTAAAAAACAAGGGAACAAGGGCCTACTCTGGGTCCTAGTGACTGTACCGAGGATTCATTGGAGTAGCCCCATCCGGCAAGTGTAATCAAGCCGCTCACATTTGGGACGGGCGTGTCCACTTGAGTCAACTTCTCGTCCACGGGGATCGCCTTGCTCTCGCATTGCAAGGGCCCAATCCCTCTCTCCCGCCTACATCCGCTGGGTAATGGAGGGTTGCTGGGCCAGGCTACTAGGCCAAACCCGCACCCTAAACCCTAAACCCTAAACCCTAGACCCTAAACCCTAAGCCCTAAGCCCTAAACTAAACCCTAAACCCTAAACCCTAAACCCCAAAACAGCTCGGAGACTGGTGGTGGCAGCACAAAGTCGACAATGTCCATGGTGAGGCTGTCCAGGTCATCCCTGGCAAAGTCCTGCGGTCACAGGTCGGCAGGGTTTAGGGTTTAGGGTTTAGGGTTTAGGGTTTAGGGTTTAGGGTTTAGGGTTTACGGTTTAGGGTTTAGGGTTTAGGGTTTAGGGTTTAGGGCTTAGGGCTTAGGGTTTCGGGTTTAGGGTTTGGTTTAGGGTTCAGAGGTCCCTAGGGTCGGAGGGGGTCCTCGGGCTTCGGGCTTTGGGTTCTGACTCCGACTGGATTAGCCTTAGAATCTTAGAATTTCTGCGAAAATCTTTCCCTTAACCCTCAACAAACCCTAAGACTAAACCCTAAAGCCCTTAAACGTTTAAAAACAGCACCAAGGTACCACTGCAGAGGCAGCGCCGCGACGCGGCATGTGAACTATACGACGTTCCCTTTTGCGTAGGGAGTTTGGAGGCAGAAACCCTAAACCCTAAACCCTAAAACCCTTTGGAGGCAGGGAGGTGTGGCAAGTTTCAGCTCAGCCTGACAACCCGATTGTGCGAATGCGGAGCACCGAAGAAGCCCCTTAGAAACCCGTAAACCCTAAACCCTAAACCCTAAACCTTCAACCCTAAACCCTCAACCCTCAACCCTAAACCCTAAACCAGTGAAGTCGTCATGAGCCCTGGGCAGCAGTCCTCCGGCTCCTCTTCCTGAATGCAAGTCCAAGACACTAGCTTCTTGCGGGGCTTATGGTCTCGGATCTCCGGGGGGGGCGGGCCCCTAAACCCTAAGCCCTAAACACCAGAGTTTGCACTTCAACCCGTAAGCACCCTTTAGGATACCCCGCCTCAAACCAAAACCCAAAATCCAAAACCCGCAACCCTAAACCCTAAACTCTAAACCTAACCCTAAGCCCCAAACCCTACACGCTAAACCCCAAACCCTAAACCCTTACCCTGAACCTTATAAGATAGCCCAAACCATGCGCCTTGAGGCCCCGAGCGTTATCCAAACCAGGCGTTTACAGGGTCTCAAGGTGTGATGGGTAACAGAAGTAAGAGAGATGAATGGTACGTCCGAAAGGTGAATCTGGTGACCGCCCAAAAAACCCCAATATTAATATTATAATTACGGCGCGCGTCCCTTGCCCCTAATATACTGGTATTATTGAACGGGTCTTTGGGGGAACGAGCGGTTGACCTTTACTTTTCCGTTCATACACCATCAATCTCATCCTTAACACCATAATACTATTAACCAGGCTCACTCACTCCCTTATAATATTATAGTGTGAAGAGAACGCAATATAATATCATGGGAAGCATACATGTAAATATAAAAGGAGATCAAGATGGCGCCAACACACTATTAAATGGCCCCACTGAAGGCAGCCTTATAAAAAATGTGAGGACGAAGGAGGACGTACATAGATATGTGTGTATTTATGTATATGTAAAAAAAGCGACAATGTGTTATGTAGATAGCAAAGAACACAAACAAGAATTCACTCACTCCCCGGAGCCCCTGGCATCCGGGTCGTGATGGTCTTCGTCCTCCTCCTCATCCCTGCGCCTCCTTCGGAGGTTTTGAAAAAATCGGGCCTTGGCCTTTGCCTCGGCCTTCGCTTAGGGGTTGGCCTTGGCCCTAGCCCTGGCCCCCGCTAGCTGTGCATTCCGCAAGAGAGCCATTGGCCGAATTCTTGCCATCGGAGCATCGCAGCGGTCAGACTTCTGCGGCTGGCCTGTCGGGATGTCAAACGCACACGAAAGAAACCCGCCCACCAACCCCAACCTCGTCGCCGCTGCGACTTGCACCGCGAGCACAGGCCGCAGGGAAGTCTGCCGGTGTTGTAGGGCGCCCTAGTAGTGACGGTCCTTCCACAACCCTGCACGAGCCCTGAACTTCCCTGAGGTCTGGGACGAGGAACAGAAGCAAAGCAAGCTAGATACAATCTGCCTGTGAATGAGCACGCGCACATGATGGTTATGTGATACAGCCATGCTCCCACACAGACAGTGATGTTTTTTTTGATGAAAGCGCAGAAGGGAAAGAAAGAGAAAGCTGAGCAGTTGCCAAACTGCTCAGATGCGGACGAGCAGATCTCAGGAGCAATTTGGGGAAAGTTTCAGGACCAGTCCTACCAAGACCCGAAAGAACCGAGCCATGAATGTCGTGGTTCGGCGATCCTGATTGTAGTAGCTTATACTGAGACATGTTTAATACATGTCGAAGCCTCTTGAAATACACGCGAAACACATGCTCAACAGACGCAAGACATGAAGATGCATCATGAGCCTAGAACATCTGGCCAACTACCAACAGAAGCACACGCAAACCCCTGTCGCGACGGAAACAGTCTTTTTTTTTTGGCAGCCGCGCGGCGACCTCGTTCAAGGTAATGAATGTGTCCGGTTCTACGAGCATGTACCCCGTTTCTTCGTCTTGGAGTCGGCGGCAGCAAGCAAAATAAAAAAACGAGTGGCCAGCTCCGACGGTGCTTGCGTCAAGTAAAAGATGCCCACCGGTACTCCTGCAAGAGAACGCTACTAGGGACGGTCGTGCTGAAGTCAGAAGATAAGGGGCAGGCTTCCTGAAGCCGGGCAGCCCACAGCTCTGTCAGGGCGGCCCCACACCGGGGACAGGCGGGGCCGCCGCTAGAGGGCAGGAGACTGGGCATGGCAGCAAGGAAGCCAGCAGTGGCACGAAAGTTATGTAGGCGGGGTACTCTACTGCTTGCCAAGCACAACTGGTGCGGGCTACATGCGGCTACAAGAGACTCGTTGCGACACAACAAGCAGACAGCTCAAACCTCCTCGCAGGATGACGCAAACTACCTCTAGCAGTGCTGTAGTTTGGTTAGGGTAGCATGTCGCCATGGTCGCAGCCATTTCATTTCGAGTGACGCATGAATAAGCCGACGGGTCAATTACCGTCGTGCGTTTTGCACAGTTGGAGGGGTTGGTTGGTGTTGTCAGTGCCATGCCCGCACGATGATTACGTCCGTGTTACCAGTGCGTGCGAATGGCCAGAGCATCCATGCCCGCACGATGATTACGTCCGTGTTACCAGTGCGCGCGAATGGCCAGAGCATCCATGCCCGCACGATGATTACGTCCGTGTTACCAGTGCCTGCGAATGGCCAGAGCATCCATGCCCGCACGATGATTACGTCCGTGTTACCAGTGCGCGCGAATGGCCAGAGCATCCATGCCCGCACGATGATTACGTCCGTGTTACCAGTGCCTGCGAATGGCCAGAGCATCCATGCCCGCACGATGATTACGTCCGTGTTACCAGTGCGTGCGAATGGCCAGAGCATCCATGCCCGCACGATGATTACGTCCGTGTTACCAGTGCCTGCGAATGGCCAGAGCATCCATGCCCGCACGATGATTACGTCCGTGTTGCCAGTGCGTGCGAATGGCCAGAGCATCGATGCCCGCACGATGATTACGTCCGTGTTACCAGTGCCTGCGAATGGCCAGAGCATCCATGCCCGCACGATGATTACGTCCGTGTTGCCAGTGAGTGCGAGATCTTGAGACGCCCTTCTCGCAGAGGCGGCTGCTTCTATGTTATTCCTCGGAAGACAGTCTGATCTTGGTCCTAAGCCCTAAACCATAAAGCCTGAAAACGGCCTAGTATCTTGAAGAAAGCTATACCGTACACCTTGCGCAGTCACTCCAAAGGAGTGCCGAATCCCGACATTTGGAAATACGCCAGATCTTTTCAATGGAGGTGGGAGTGCTCTGGCGATTTGTTGTCCTCCACGGGGCATTACTTGGCCAGCTTGTGACACGACGGACGAGAAACCCGAAAGCAGAAAAGTCGTGCACCCTTAAACTCAAAACCCTTAAACCCTAATCCCAAAGCCTCCAGGGCAAGGCCAAAAGTCCTCTACCCTTAAACCCGAAACCGTAAAGCCTGAAGCAACAAGCCCAAAACTCGTGTAGCCTTAAACCCTTAACCCTTGAACCCTAAACCCCAAAGCCTCCAGGGCAAGGCCAAAAGTCCTCTACCCTTAAAACCCCAAACCCTAAAGCCTGAGGCAACAAGCCCGAAACTCGTGTAGCCTGAAACCCTTAACCCTTAAACCCTAAACCCCAAAGGCTCCAAGGCAAGCCCAAAGGTCCTCTACCCTTAAGCCCGAAACCCCAAAGCCTGAAGCAACAAGCACGAAAGTCGTGTAGCCTTAAGCCCTAAACCCTTCAACTTAAGACCTAAACCCCCAAGCCTCAAGGGCAAGCCCAAAAGTCCTTTACCCTGAAACCCGAAACTCCCATGCCTCAAGCAACAAGCCCAAAAGTCGTGTAGCCTTAAACCCGAAACCGCCAAGCCTCAAGCAACAAGCCCAAAAGTCCTGTAGCCTTAAACCCTTAATCCAAAAGCCGCAACCATGAAGTTGCGCGCACAACCGAAAGAACACAAAAAAACACAAACATTGGCGTTTTCTGAAAAACCACGTTTTTCAGTTCGAAAACACGAAAACATCGGCATACGCAGTGTTTTCGCCTGCGAACCACCTTCATAGCCAGACACGAAAAACGCGGCGCGCCGAATCCTCGAAAGTACCGCGCCTGCCATGCTTTTCACAAAACAACCTCTGAAACGTGCACTTTTTTTTGGACTGAATCCAAGTTAAAAATCGTGCTCCCGCTGTGGCGAAACTCACAAACGTAAAAAGACGCACGACGGTAAACGCCCCGTGGGGATGAATAACTTCACTGCGCGTGCAGGTTTTTCTCACTGTGGCTATTTTGAGATATATCTGATTCAGTTTGCTTACGCAATCCGACACTGCAAGAATTTGAGCCCACGCAATACCCATGACAGGACTCAAAACACGAACCACGCGGAGGATGATGCTGCGTGTGTTGGCACTGAGGTGGGATGTTTTCCATTCTGTGGAGCCGCAGCAGAGCCTTTCAAGTACTGGGAGTACCTAAAAAAACATGAAGCTACGCAATAATGTTGCACCCGCAATATTCTAGGGGGACGCTATTATGAAAAGTTTTCCGGCTATTCAGGATCTGGACCCTTTGTTTTGGGGGTCCGCTATAATGAAAAGATTTCGGGCCGGGCCTGTTTTTTTGGGGGTGTCAGGAAGGCATAAGCTTCTCGAGAAAGAGAGATACTTGAAGCCTGAAGCCTCGACCTGTCCAGGATCTCCGACAATCTTCTTTTTTCAGGGCGCCTTTTCTTTATAAATTCCTTACTTAAAACTAGATGATTCCATAGGCGAATCATATCCGGAAAGGGGGTACCTTACGGAGGCCTCCGGACACACTTTAATACCTTTGTTTGGGGGCCCGCTATAATGCAAGTCTCCCGGGGCCAGGGGCTCAGTCCTTCGGTTTTCAGGAAGGCATAAGCTTTCTCGAGAAGGAGGGATACTTGAAGCCCTCCTCCACCTGTCCAGGATCTCCGACAATCTTCTTTTTTCAGGGCGCCTTTTCTTTATAAATTCCTTACTTAAAACTAGATGATTCCATAGGCGAATCATATCCGGAAAGGGGGTACCTTACGGAGGCCTCCGGACACACTTTAATACCTTTGTTTGGGGGCCCGCTATAATGCAAGTCTCCCGGGGCCCGGGGCTCAGTCCTTCGGTTTTCAGGAAGGCATAAGCTTTCTCGAGAAGAAGGGATACTTGAAGCCTGAAGCCTCGACCTTTCCAGGGTCGCGGGGTAGCTTAGGGAGGCTCCGGACCCCCCCCCCCCCCCGACTGTTTGGGGTCTTTCTTTATTCAGGCTCGCGACTGTTGAGGGGGGGGGGGGGGTAACTTATTAAAGCAGGTCCAACATTACTAATTCTTTGAACTTTACGCTCGAGCTGAGGTCGAGTCATGCAATCCCAGACCCCTCGGGAATCCGAAAAGTAGAACCCCCCAAATGGTACACTCTGCTACCTTGAGTGCCCTAAACCCTATATAAGCCCTAAACCCGAAACCCTAAACTTTAAGCTCTATAATAATATTATAGTGTGTGAACGAAACTAGTGCATTCTCTTCACACGGTCACAAACTAATGATTACGGCGTGCATTCTTTGCCCGTAATAATATTATGTGAGCGAAGTGAATAAATTATATGCACGTACCAAGAGCCAGAGATTGAATGGTTAACGCGCGGGCCCTTATAATTCAATACTTCTTTTGGACTATTTCCTGTAGCCCCGGGCGAACAATATAAGCCCGCGAAAGGAAGTAAAATGTACTAGCCCCGGGCGAACAATGAGCCCGGGAATTATGATAATAGTGTTAATACGGGCACATTAAAATCTACTAAGTTCGTGCCCGTGATTAAATTCGCGCCTCCGTGACGATGGTCTGCGGAGATGCATCCTGGCTTCCTTTGAAGCTGTGGGACTCGGGGTTTAGGGTTTAGGGTTAAGGGGTGCAGGGTTTA